GGACTTTTAATTCCAATTTGTGTTAATCCAAGTGTATCAGATATATGATGAGTTTGGTGTTTTTCAGTCCATTTTCAAATTAAGCAGTAAGACTTTACATTAAGGGAATAGTGCTGCATTTTACCAGCTATAAGAGACTTTTATAATTTGGCAGTTTTGTTTTTTTTTATTGCAGTCTAACATAAGATATGGCACCAAAAAGATCTCACACAGGACTCAGTGCATCACGTTTTGAGTTCAGAGCAGTGTACAACCACAAACATAAAAACAGTTATGACATCACATCCTCGGGCTAATGTGTGAATAATGAATGAGCGTCTTAACCATAAAATGGTTTCGCCATTAGCTTGACTGCGAGTGTTCTGGCCCTGCTTTTCTCCTCTATTATACTTTAAAAGCATTCATTTTACAAAAAATAAAAGACTTTGAGGACAAACCGTTACCATTACCAACTTAATATCAGTTTTTCAGTATTTATTGTGTTCACTCTTTACCTTTATTACAGCTTCCATTCTTTTCAGGAGACTCACTTTCAGCTTTTTAAAGAAGTCTGCTGGGAGATTTTTCATTTTGTATTGTTTGCTTCTCACGATCCAAGTCATCTCAAACACATTCATTGATGATGGTCTGGGCTCAGGGGTGGTCACTCTATTGTTCTGGGAACACCAGCAGCTTCTCACAGTGGAAGCATGGGCAGAAACATCTGTTTTTCTTTTTCAGATCTGAAGCAGTTCGATTTTCTCCTCTCTCTCAAAGATGAAGGCTTTAAGTGCTGTTTATCTGATGGTGATAGTTTTGGTGGTCTCGAGTTTTAGAAACTCCTGTTTGTCACCTATTTTCTTTTGGCTCTCCCCTTCATTATGAAGAATATCTTCATCTGAACTCTTCAGAAATATCTCAGACCTAAACTTTCAGTGTTCTAGTGCAAATTTTCTTCTTTTCTCAGTAACAGCTTCTTGACAGTTTAGTGGATATTATCACAGTTATTGTCTCCAAATATGTGTCACAAACTCTGTCCAGTTGGTTTGGTGTGAACCAATCCATAGACAAAATCCCACCCTTAGGGTGAGAAACTGAGAGGAATGGTTTAGGAGTTGGTTTCACTGAAGAAGCATTACAGTTACCAACTAAAAATTGGGCTGTTTTGACTGGAAATGAAATGAATGAAGGGTCATCTATGACTTTTGCACAATACGTGTTTAAAAATATTGGACTATTTCTTGAATGTTGAAATCATGTGAGTAAATTTGAATGGAACATTATGCAGCAGTTCAACAAAACTATTATTTTAGAGATATTATTAAGATACATTAAACTTTAAGACATTCTACACATATTATATTTTGTGGAAGATGGTTTTATTCAAACTCCTCAAAAACCGAAGCTGAGGAAATTCCCTCTCATCCGTGGCTGAACTCTCTCTCATTCTTCTTTACAGAGTTTTAATTCATAGAGAGGACAGCAGTCAAGCTAGCTTATGAGAGCCCTCTCTCTTTTCCATTAAGAAAGTGTCGTTGTCTAGAGTGACTCATTTCTCTCCCACTTACAGGCTCACAGTTGAACTTCTGGTGCTGGGCGAGCACTTGAGCAGTAACCCATGTACTCTTAATGTAAAGCCTGAAAGAGCTCAGCTTTGAGGAACTTTAAAAAGGGCCTGGTACTTGTGTGTGTGTGTGTGTGTGTGTGTGTGCAGGGGGGGACTGATTTCTATAACCCTTCAGGAGAAGTGTGAAGACTCCTCCACCCTCATCACTAAGCCCTGTCAGAGCTGTTCAGTTTCTGACCCTCCAGGCTTCAGGCGAGACCACTCACTCTGCGTAACCAGAGTCTTTACAGCTAACGCTAATGTTCGCTGCCCCAGTAGGAGCTAAAGGACAGCAGTGACCAGGCCAGAACACACACATGGCTTTTGGCTGGATGACCGCTGTGATGGTGGGGTTGTGCCAGTTGTTTGAATGCCTGTAGATTGTCAGTGGCTGATACTGTGTACTAGATTCATTATGTATCAGGTGAAAGTGGGCTTCTATGGATTTTTAGTATGTTAGTGAATAGTGTTTAATGTGTGTGTCTGTTAAGGGTGTGACATTTTCAGTACAATATAAAAAAAATGGAAAAAATTAACACTTAAATCAGTGTATAGGAATTTAAAGCTGTATCGACTAGGGTTATATGATATGGAAGCAAAGTGTGTTTCTGTAGATTAGTTTGATATTGTAGTACGATAAGCAATAAATTATAGTTCAAATAGTGCGTTTACAAGTGTGTGTGCAACAAGTATAGACTCCTTTTTCCTGTATATTAAGAAGAAATCTAACTACCCTCACCTTTAAGCAAATTCCAAAAATACATTATTACAGAAGCCCCATAAATGCTAATAGTTACTTACAGCACACGTTTGCACTGTACAGCTGAAAAACACTCAGCATTCGCTGGACAGATTTTTCCATACAGGTCTACAAAAATGCATACATACATCCATGCCTATACCTAGATAGGCCTAAGAATTCCCTAAAAAGCTCCTTATACTGATGCAGATGTGTTGTGAAAGTAGCCATTACTTTGACACACATTTTACGCACCACACAGAGACTGAATAATTATCAGGTTTTAACTTGATTTCACAGGCTGGTAGTTAAGGATAGAGTAGTTTTTGAGCTGTGCATGTATGTGCACACTCATGCTGTGGATGTAATTTGATCTGCAGTCTATCTCAGCCCTTAATGATGTGTTCCTTGAAGCACTTCACAGGCTGGAGAAGTTTTTAAGCTGTTTATGTATGTATACAATACATATGTAATTCAAACTGCCATCTCAGCCCTTAAAGATGTGTTCCTTGTGGAATCTTGTATTGCAGTAATGGTAAAAACATGATTATTGTTGCAGCTTGAGTAATGACAGTACACTCTCTTCGCTCTCTCCTGAGCATGATTCATTTACAGTGTGTTTTGTGGAAACTTTAAAAAACAGAAACAGTAACTTTGATATCGTTAATGCTTAGTGTCAGGCTTTGTATAGGTTTTAATTGCTTTTGTGACATATTAATGATGATATTTGTGTTTTAGGTGGTAGAAAATAAAGAGTTTCATTCTGAAATGCTGTAAATCCATTTTTATTGGACAAGTTTTTGAAAGGATAGTAGCTGAAATGTAATGAAAAACATGTATTTCTTTTTCTAATAAATGTGATATTAATCATAATGTCATAATAATCAAAATAATGGATTATTGTTATTTGTTTTACATATAAAGTCCACTCCCAACAATGTATATCATGAAAAAAATCTTGAAAGTGGTCCATAATACATTTAGCAATTAAACCCTTCAAACAGAGGGATGTAGGTATTTATATGAGGCAGATCAGGTTTTTGTGTTATTTATAGCTCAGTTCCACTATCACTATTTTGCAGAAGGACATGCTACTTTTCAGACTTTTCTTTGTAAATAAAATTTGTAAATAGAGCTCTTTAGAGACCTCTTAACACGTAACACATCTACAATCAAATACAGTATTGACCTTAGAATCAAAAATACTGTCAAACCTGAACATACACCGACATGTAGGCATAACATTATGACCGCCTCCTTGTTTCTACGCTCATTGTCCATTTTATCAGCTCCACTTACTATATAGGTGCACTTTGTAGTTCTACAGTTACAGACTGTAGTCCATCTGTTTCTCTGCAAAAGTTAGCCCTTTTTACCCTGTTCTTCAGTCGTCAGGACCCCCATGGACCCTCACAGAGCAGGTATTATTTGGGTGGCGGATCATTCTCAGCAGTAACACTGATGTGGTGGTGGTGTGTTGGTGTATGTTGCGCTGGTACGAGTGGATCAGACACAGCAGTGCTGCTGGAGTTTTTAAACACCTCAGTGTCACTGCTGGACTGAGAATAGTCCACCAACCAAAAATATCCAGCCAACAGCATCCTGTGGGCAGCGTCCTGTGACCACTGATGAAGGACTGGAGGATGACCGACTCAAACTGTGCAGCAGCAGATGAGCTATCGTCTCTGACTTTACATCTACAAGGTGGACTGACAAGGTAGGAGTGTCTAATAGAGTGGACAGTGAGTGGACAGAGTGTTTAAAAACTCCAGCAGCACTGCTGTGTCTGATCCACTCGTACCAGCGCAACATACACCAACACACCACCACCACATCAGTGTTACTGCTGAGAATGATCCGCCACCCAAATAATACCTGCTCTGTGAGGGTCCATGGGGGTCCTGACGACTGAAGAACAGGGTAAAAAGGGCTAACTTTTGCAGAGAAACAGATGGACTACAGTCTGTAATTGTAGAACTACAAAGTGCACCTATATAGTAAGTGGAGCTGATAAAATGGGCAGTGAGCGTAGAAACAAGGAGGTGGTCATAATGTTATGCCTGATCTGTGTCTATGTGCTGCTACACCCCTAGTGAAGGTGTCTGTCCAGGTAATGAGGTGCAAGCTTAACTTATATGAATATATCCTAATGTCACAATTATGTATCACTGTCAGTCGCACTCAAATCCTTGTGATTTTGCCCCAGTCGCTCTGTTCATCCTGCTGTGAATATCAGTTTTGAATGAAATGAAACACATAAAACAGGAACGAATATCTTACAAAGGCTCTGTTGGTTCTTGATGCCATCTCGCTGCACGTTATGCCTCTCTGGTCGTCATGGTGATTCAGCAGCCTCTCATTATTTGATGTGCAATTTAAAAAATACCCAAAGTACACAGACCGTTTCAAAAACATTAATACCACATTATTATCAAAAGTCAGATCCATGTGGGAAGTGCAAAATCTAACTTTTTTAGAGCAGATGTCATTCAGCCTCCATTTCACTGTTTACACAGCAAACACAGCTCAGCTCAGCTTAATGCTTCTGGGCCATTTACGTAGGTCGAAAGAACAAAGAGCGTGAAATCCTTGTTTAACAGCGCACCAGTGTTGTAATGAACCTCAGACCTGAAGCAGTAATGTGTCATTTGAATCTTCTTTCTTTTGTGTTTCCAGAGCTACCGTATGGCTGGGAGAAAATAGATGACCCTATATATGGCAGTTACTATGTTGAGTAAGTGTTGTCAATCCTCGTTCTCTTTCAAGCGTATAATCGTGTGTGAGAGCGTGAGTATGGGCATAGAAAGAACAAGTGTTCGAATGAGAGCTCTGCCTTTCCTCTCTACAGCCACATTAACAGAAGGACGCAGTTCGAGAACCCTGTACTGGAGGCCAAGAGGAGAATCCAACAGCAGCAGCAAATGCAAAGCCAAGGCCTCTCGGCCCTGCCGCTGCCCACCATCTACAGAGGTACGCTACAAATCCGTGAGAACTGTATTGGAAATCAACTAAAAGATAAGTAAACAACATAGGTGAATAACAGTAAATACATTAAGAAGTGAATAAAATCTCTATAGACTCTCTATAGGAAAATCCTCCAACTTTTCAGCATTTGTATCACATCAAGGCTTTCAGAGTGTTTTGATGTGATATTTGTTTTTTTTTTTTACAGTGGAGGTGATAGGAAGCAGGAGTCGTGATATTAACAAAGCAAATACAGCCGTTTTATCTACTATCTAAACTGACCAGTGAATGTACATGTTTTATATGTAATGTTGATGATGATAAAATCAAGAAGTCATAAGTTTACATAAACTTAGTTTGAAGACATTAAAACTCAGATTTATCCCCTGAACAGATTCCATAGTTTTAGCAAGTTGTTTAGGATATCTGCTTTGTACATAACACAAACAATTTTCCCAACAAATGTTTACAAACAGATTATTTCACTTATTACTTACTATATCAAAGTTCCAGTGGGTCAGAAGTTTACATACACCAAGTTGACTCCCTTTAAATACCATGGAAAATTCTATTATGGCTATTAAAGTGTGTGCGAGCAAGGAGGCCTACAAACCTGACTCAGTTACACCAGTTCTGTCAGGAGGAATGGCAAAATTACAGCAACTTATTGTGACAAGCTTGTGAAAGGCTACCTGAAACGTTTCACCCAAGTTAAACAATTTAAAGGCAATGCTACCAAGTTCTAACCACGTGTATGTGAACTTCTGAGCCACTGGGAATGTGATGAAAGAAATAAAAGCTAAATTAAGTCATTGTCTCTAGTATTATTCTGACATTTTACATTCTGGGAAATCCTAACTGACCCAAGAGAGGGAATGTGTACAAGGATTAAATGTCAGGATTTGTGAAAAACTGAGTTTAATTGAATGTGGCGAAGGTGTATGTAAAATTATGACTGTAAATCTGAAAAAATGATCAAATTTGGGGAACTATTTTGCCTTACAAAACTCTGCATGTACCTCTCCCAAATTAATACATAAAAATGCCCAAACCCTCTCAAAACTGTCATAAAACAACATCTCAGGCTTCAGTCAGCAAATAATAGCTTTCTGTGAGGGAACATTCAATGACATTAAACGCTTCAGATGTCTGGTTCCTATCAACAGTTCTGACTTGATTTCTCTAGAGTGGAGCATTTCACATCAAACCACTCTGACTGACTTTATTTCCATCTGAACAGTTTAATAAGGAAGAAACTTAGAAAACAAAGCAGAATTCTCCTTTGATCAATAGCTCTTAAAAAACAGGGTGGTCATTCCAGCAACCATGGCTCAAGGAGGTTTAAGCAGGATTGCATATTGTATATGGAACAAAAGATAAGCAGATAGCAAATCAAAGGGTCGGGACACACCAACCTGACAAGGAAGAACTAGTGCCAACTAAGGTCGACTGATACTTTACAAGCTTAAAATGTCTGTGTTTAGCTAAACCTAGAGTGTAAAAGAGAAATGTGGTGTTAATGTTGTGCTGGGTGGCTGAAAAAACTCATTAAAAGAGAATATTTGTACATAAAACAGTGAAATAAGATGCACGCTAGGCGCATGTGCATAATTATATGATAAAATGATCATGAAATGACTGAGTATCCTATTCTATATTTTAGGTCAGTGTGTTATCAGATTATATTCAGAGCTAACAGTGTTTTCTCATTGGGAATACGATATTCAAACACTGCTCCTTAAAAGGGCCCATATCATGGAACATAAACCAGCACATTTACATATATCCACCTATACAGCCTACAGCAGTTTAGCCCGCCTGCTCACACTGTTCACACAAGTTATAAGGAGTGTTTCAGTCTAGACTGTTTTTTAAATACAGCACAATACAGGGCAGCCAATCCAACAGAGCTCATTTACCGATATCAGTCGTAAAGGCACAGCAGCAAAAACAGCCTGTTTAATTCTAGGAGATGGAGTGGTTGTAAAATGGTCATGAAAAAAGGAATTATGACTGTTTTTGGTACATAAAACTGTACAAATGGAATAAGTGGACCTGAGGGGAGAAGATTAAATACAAGAAAAATGTAGAATATGGGCCCTTTAAAGATTCAGACACTCGAATAGCAAAAATTCTGTTTGTCCTCTTGAGAGTATCGTTTACCTGCGTTGCTCAATCGGCCAAAACAATCGACTCGCAATGTCGAAATACTGGCTCGCAAAACAATACTGACGAGAGCTAACTAGAGCCAATGGTGCACAAACTACAGGTGATGGTCAGCTACCAAGGGTCTGACAGTCTTGGTGGACCAGGGCCTAAGAGAGTGTGTATTGTGTGTTTCGAGGAGTGAGAAGATCATGTATTTCAAAACAAGAAGAGATTGCTGAATTGGATTCTCCTGGATGGTCAATGTAAAAATGGTATAACTGGGAAAATAAACATTTCTGCAGTTTTATTAAAACACATGCTGCAGAGTTTTGGACTTACTGTAACGTCTGGATGCTGTTGGTTGGAAGACCAGCCATCAGAGCAACACCGTAATCCAGTCCAGAGTCAAACTGCTTGTATCAGCTTCTGATAGATCTGAAAACAAAAGAAGGGCAGTGAGACTGAGTGGGTAATCTGTTTCTGTTCTAACTCTGTACCCTCTCACCTTCTGGAGATCTGTGGCCCTTTTCTGCTTCCTTTGCTCAGGTGTGCTCAAACCTTTCTAAAAAGCGTCCTTGGTGTCTTGTTAACAGTTGGTCGGGTTCTGTTTCTGTGCTGGTGCTGCATTCATAAATGAGGATTTCATTTCCACATCACGCCAACAAATCCCATTTGAGGATCCAGCGTGATGTTGTGACAAAAGGAGTTAATTAAAAATACAAAACCAACATGTTAAATTCGTAACCAAATTCATCACCCCGCCTTTCCTTTTTTGGAGGTGCTTTTGGATTTAGGTCGTGCTCTAACTGGGCCACTCGAGGACGTTCACTTGGGTAATACAGAGCCACTTGTTTGCGTTCAGTCGTGAATGGGTTTGGTGTGATGCCGAAAGTTGAATTTTCCTTGAAGGTTCTGATTTCTACCAGGCTACGGGCTTCATCTGTTATTTTCTGCAACCCACTGTGTGTATTTGAGCCTTCATCCTGACAGGAGCTGCCTACCTAACTTTGCATAATAAAATGGGTTCTAAAATGCACCATGTTGCATCTTTGCCAGATGTACATTTACATTTAGCTCTAAGAATTTGCTACAGTTTAGTCACAGACTTCCTACATGACAATAGAGCCTTCTGAGGTTGTTTTTGCATTTCATTGCTGTCGTAATGCAGCGCTTATGACAACCGGAGAGTCGCACACAGTAGAAAAAGCTCTTGGAAAGTTTTTACATTGGAGTTTTTTTCTTTATTTTGAAAGTGGATGTCGGATATGAGAGTTCACTGTTAATAATGGAGACTTAACCTTGCAAGTATCCAAGTATCCCCCCTGTACTTAGCAACATTGTGCACAAACAGCAACTCACAGGTCTTAAAAAAGATTAGAACACTCTGGGCTGAACGTACGGATCAGCACAGGCACAGCGCAAAAATGTGCCATGATGCGCCCACAAAATGTGCCCACAATGCACCTGAATTTAGGGTTTGATTCACTACGACTGCAGCTTATCACACAATCTGCATGTAGCTCCACCCACTAATTCTGCAGGACTGTTACTTTACTCTGGCTAAGAGCTTGTGATACTATAACATGGACTATGTGCACGTCTTGTCACGCATGTGTGTCTGGTCCCAGAGGTTAAACAGTGTTAATCTGATGCTGAACATTCTTTCAACATGTTTTCAAGGCTCATGCCTCCGTCTAACCACTGTCTCTGGTGTCATTATTAAAGGGAGACTCTCAACAACACATCTTTTGACACCCTAAAGCACTTTCACAGCTGGTTTTAAGAGGCGAAAGAAGAACGAGGGCAAAACCAGCCATATCGAGATGCTCAAACTTAATGCATCAAGCAGAATATGTGATCACCCACATGTATAATATCTCCACACACTTACATGAATCTCTCATGTTTTGTGCAGCCCTGTTTCAAAAGCTCATAAGGAAGAGAAGTGCATTTTGCATTTCACCTCACATGCAGCCCATAAACAACACAAAAGGCTTAGCACACTGGGTCCTCAGTTACTTCTCATTCTGTGGACATCACCATGTGGAAGTGGTGTCATGCATTTGAAACTCAGAGCTGCAGCTTCTCAGACTTTCGCATTGGAAACTTTTCACAATTTTCTCTTTCATGCAAAGCAATGTTTTCACAATTGTTCTGTCTTCTAGAAAGATGTGAACAGTATAGTTGGAAGCTGATGTTCTTAAGCTGTGACTGCTTTTGTCATGTCATGGATGAATGACACCACACTACGTGGTCACTTCATGGAGCAGAAGACGTGTTATCCAGTGCCATTAAATGCCTGGATCTCCTTTACAGCTGATATTGACCTCCTGATAGCTTCTCCTGATGGCCTCCTCCTTTCGCTGTAGTCCACTTTTGGAGGAATGCCCAGTTCCAGGCAGGGTGAGGCTGCTGGCGTGTCCTGTTCCCCTTTAACTTCTTAATAACTCTTCAAAGAGTTTCCAGAACTTTTCTAAATCCATCTTTCATTTGTTCTTCTGGAGAACTTTTGGAGGTTGTTTTGTTCCGATGGTTTAGTACTGCTTTTTTTCAGAATTACTCAGAAGGAACTTAAAGAATCCAGGTATCATTCGAATGCCAGCTGGATGCAACAAACTTGAAGTGTCTGGAATGTAAGACAGTCTTTTTAGATTTTTTTTGAAAGGAGATCAATAATTTGTGATGCTGTAGCTCACTGGAAATGGATTACATCAGCTGAGTCTACAAGAATTCTTCCTTCAAACCTAAAGAAAACATGTAGCGTCTTTAAGTAATGTGAGTTCATGATAGGGATGTACTTGCCCAACTTTTTCTCGCCTGAAACTGATTCTGATACCTGATACCTAACTCAGGGTATCAGCCGATACCAAGCACCAGTCCAGTACCGGGGCTCTGTTATGGCAGTGTTCTGTACATATTTTGGACATGAGGATGAATATTTATTATAAATATCTGACTTATAAGTTAAATATGACTTGTATTTGTTTGAAGTAATTTTTCAGACCCAAAAAAAGATGCAAGTTTTAATGTCATAGAACCTTTTCATCAAGTTCAGTGTGTTTTTTTAAGCTGAGAATGCAAAAACAAACTGGAAGAGGATGGAAAAAATTGATTGCTCAAGTAAAAATGTATCTTTCTTTTAAATTTTATCACTTATCTTTTAAGCACACAATTCTATATGGGCATTAATTACTTGTATACATTAAGATATGCTGTGATGTCATGAGAACCAGCTCATTTACATCCATCTATTCATCCTATATCCAGAGCTGTTGAGCCCTGTACCCTCACTACACATGTTGCATAGGGCCCTGCAATTTACACCTTCGCCTCATGCCAAAGCTGTTTATTGTTTACAACTTCGATGAGAAGATAAACGGAACTATCCATCTTGAAAAGAAAAGAAACACCATAAGAGTGAATTGCAGGAACATCAATCAAGTAAACATGTATTTTATCCTCTCCAGGTGTGACGTCAACAAATAACAGTAACGTTTTACAAATAAAGGCTGATGTGCTGGCTGGGCAGTGCATCTCTCTCTAGTCTGTCTGTCTTGCCAACCGAGCTGGACAGTGCATCTGTTGGTCTGTCTGTGTCTTGCTTGCTTGCTTGCCAGCCACTTCCAGGGCTGTGTTCTGTGACTTTGTGCCTGACGAAAGTGAGACTGAAGTACAACTGTATATTACCTTTGGTGAACATCAGTGGACAACTGTGTTTACAAACTGCAGCTCTGGAAGATAATCACATCACGCATAAACGTGTTCATATGTGTTTGTGCGTTTTGCAGCAGCAAGCCTCTATGGAGTCCAGTCCAGGCAGTATATGGGTGTGATGGCACACTCCTTATAGGCGCACATCAGTTTAAAACAAGACAGTTTAAAACTTGTCTCTCAGTCAAGGTTTAGTTACAACTCTAACTAATGGAATGGACTAATGGAAAATGGAAAGCAATGGACTGACACCGACTATTGATTAAATATTGAATTTAAAATGCTGATTAGCTGGGCATACTGGGCAAAATGGATACTCTCTCAGTAAATAACTATCAAGAAATCAGCCAAGTCATAGTATAAATATTATTTTCTATTTGAAAATGTATAAAAGAAAAGCTGGGGAGCCAGTCTGAATGGGCCTGATGCATCTGATAAAATTAATAATAGCATTATCTTATTATGTTCTGTTTTTTGTATTGTGCATTTTATTAATATTCACTTTTCTTCAAGATTCTATAGCAAATATTCTATCCAATAAATATGATCTGTTCATACCTCATTCTGTTCTGTGTGGGTCTACTTAGTCTTAGTCCAACACGTGGAGCAAACTGTTTTAAAGGAGGGAGGATTGTAGTGGGAGCACTGGGGTGTCAGGTGTGACTGTGTGGCGCTTGCAAATGGTTTACATGGCTTATCGGTCAGGTAGGAGGGCCACTTTGCAGAATTTTGCTTAGGGCCCCAGGAAAGCCAGGACTGACTCTGTCTGCAGGAGTTTAGCCCTGCTCATTCTCATTGAAGTTATAAGAAGTGTTTCCATCTAGACTGCTTTTTAAATAAGGCACAATACAGGACCCAATCAGGACTCAAGGAGTTGAGGAGAGGTTGGAAAATGGTCATGTAAAATGAATTCTGAGCATCTTTGGTACATAAACTCACAGAAATGTAGGATATGGGACCATTAGTAAAGTTAGTATTTGTGCCAATACCGATCCAGTGTATCAGTTTGGTTCATGACTAGTTCATAATGCATATATGTATGTGTCTGTGTATGTGTGTACATGGTCCTCACAGAGAAGCCTCCGTTCACGCGGGACGCCACCCAGCTGAAGGGGACATTTCTGTCCACGGCGCTGCAGAAAAGCAGCATGGGCTTCGGCTTCACCATCATTGGCGGAGACGAACCAGACGAGTTTCTACAGGTCAAGAGTGTCATACCGGAAGGACCGGCTGCGCAAGACGGCAAGATGGCAACTGGTGAGCCATTCAGACCTCTTGTTTTCAGTCAGATTGCTTGGATTTTAACCTTGTAAAACTCTAAGCTTGTTATTCATAATGTTGTGTTATTTATCTTAAGGCTTACTTTGTGACAACTGCTATGAATTATTCAGTACAACTGTTTAACCTCTGATGGGTCCAGGCATCCATAACTTATACTTAACACTTCTGTAACTCCTATAAAAGAATACCTCAGCCAGTTTGCATTGTTTTTCATGTTCTGGTGGGTGATATGAAAAAAAAAAACAGTGTATCACGATACAATACATATCACAATGTTTTGACACACAGACAGAAGTGCTAGAAGTGTCACATTTAAAAACTGCTGTCAAAAACCATCAATAGAATGATGATTATTCATTTTACATATAGTATTGCGTTAAATCTGGTTAAACAGGGCTATTTAGCTGGGCCCACCCTTCCTTACCCAGTCAGATGACATTTTTTGTGGATTTTCTAAAGTAAAATTAGTTAACACATGGTATACAGGGAACTAATGTAAATATGCCATTTTCTACACATTTTAAAGCAAAAATTGTGTTTGTTTGCTGAGTTTGGCATATTGGGAAAAAATAAAATGTAAAATGTGCCATAACTTTTGCACAAGTCACATTTTATGTTTTTTTTTCCCCAATCTGTTAAATTTAGCAAGTAAACAGTAAATTTGCATTAAAATATGCAGAGGTGTGTTCTCTGTAGAGGATGTGTTAACTTATGTTCAGTTAGAAAATCAACAGAACATGCAGTTTCACCAGTGGTGCCAAAACCTTTGCATATGACTGTGCTCTCTTTGTAATGTTACCTGCTGTCAATTGTCTTTTAAGTATTGATGATATCCACAATATGCTCAGAAATGGTGGTATAAAATAATGATAACACATCGTCATATTGCTCATCTCTATTTCCATGTAATTACTAGAATAATTACTATAATAATAATAATCTTCTGAATATAATAAGCGTAGCAATTTAAGGAGTTCAAGTATGTAGTTATGAGAATGAGGAACTGAAGTCTGGATCACCAGCAGGTCCTTAGTGTTTAAGGAGCTAATCAGACTGAAGTCTGATCTTGAGCAGTCAGACTGAAGTTCAGTTGTCTTTGTGTAAGAACGCTAAAGTTTCATGAAGGTTCTTCACTCAGAGGTGCCAGAGGCCTGATCTGGGCTCGTCAGCTGAAAGAAAAGACATTCGATCAGATCTGCTGCCCATCTTGCACTGGCCTCATAAAAGTTTGAACATGTTTACAGAGGCAGAGGTTTCACCCTCTCCGTGGGCACTTGTGCTCTCACTATAAACCAGGCAGTGTAATGGTAAATCCTGAGAGAGAGAGAGAGAGAGAGAGAGAGAGAGAGAGAGTCCCATATGCACGTATACAACAGACTTGCAGTTGTCGTTGCTGTTGCAACTACGTGGTAACCGTTCTTGCTCGTACACACCTTGTGCAAGATTGCATTTGTTGTGGGAGCCTGTTCTCTGACAGAAATGTGCTTTTATGAAGCATCACAGGTTGATTCCATGGTATTTTACCTTTTACTGTCTGAGGAGCGTGTGTTCTGAGCGCTGGAGATGCAGAAGTGCTTTGTTTTTTTTCCTCTTTTATGTAGTCACTGTACAAGTGCTTTAATTTAGCTTTGATTTCACCCCGAGCTCTCAAACGGTGCTCAGTAAGTGGGCTGTGTCTATAGGCTCCAGTGGAGACATCGCTTCCTGAGGCGTCATGCATAATCATACATATTGGCTGTGCATTTACTTCTGCATAAAGCTGCATGACCAAAGTTCAGGTTTAACTGCATATAATTTATCTTCTTTTGATGGGGAGAATAAAGGCTACTTTGGACATCTTCTCTCTCCCTCTCTCTCTCTCTCTTTCTCTCTCTCTGTCACTCTCTCTGCTGCTTCAGTATGGATCACCCTCAGGTTGTCCGTAACACTGAGTTCTCTCATTATGGGCCAGATGGCTGACTCATCCTTTATCCACACCCCTTGATGCCCCTAAAATGAACCTGCTGTGTATGTGTTTCTGATGGGGTTGGTGGGTAGAGGAAGAATTGTGGGGGTGTTTCATTGCCATTATTGCCATAGACCTGAGGTCATGTGTGATTTTGTAGTCAGCAACATGCCCAAATAAGGACTGTATTGCTGATACATTTTGTCCTATATAACCAAACTACTGACTGTCACATGAGCTAGGTGGACATCCCATTCCAAAACCATAGGTGTTAACATGAAGTTAACCCCACCCCCCACTTCCCAGTAATAACGGCCTCCATGCTGCTGGGAAGACTTGACATAAGATTTTTGCCCATTCAGTCAAAAGAGCATTTGTGAGGTCAGGCACTGATGTAGGATGAGAAGGTCTGGCTTGCAGCTGATGTTCCAGTTCACTGAGGTCAGGGCTCTGTGTGGGCATCTGGAATTCCTCCACACCAAACTTTTCAAACCATGTCTTTATAGACCTCACTTTGAGCACAGGGGCACAGTCATGCTGGAACAGGAAAGGGCCTTTCCCAAACTCTTGCCAAAGTTGGAAGCATATAATTGTCTAAAATGTCTTTGTAAGCTGTAGCATTAACATGACCCTTCACTGGAAGGGGATGAGCCCAAACCCTGAAAGACAGCACCTGACTATATACGTCCTCCACCAATCTTTACTGCTGGCACTGTGCAGTCTGGTAGAGAGCGTTCTCCTGGTATCTTCCAAACCCAGATTCGTCCTGTAGACTTATCTGAGGCTTGTGTGTGGCTGCTCGGCCATGGAAACCCAATATAGGATGCTCCTGACGTACAATTTGCGTGGTCTGCTGCTTTGTGGCTGCACCGTTGTTGCTCCTAGATGCAACAGCACTGAACTTGTGGCATCCTGTGACAGTGCCACGTTTAAAGTCACTAAGCTCTTTAGTTCAACCCACTCTACTGCCTTTTTTTGGAGATTGCATGCTATGTGCTTGATTTGGTGTTGCTGAAACAGAGGAATACGATAATTAGGCGTGGTGCCCACATACTTTTGACCACATTGTGTAGTTTGTGACACAAACTAAACAAAAATCTACAGATTTATTTATTACACATCAGAATAAACACAACAGCAGCATTTAGAAATCACGTGGGAGAAAAGCAGCTTAAACAGCAGACACAGTCCCTTGTTTGCATTGGCCTGAAAAGGTTAGGTGGTTGAAATACAGGTATTGCTACACACAGTACATGCTACAAGCAAACTAACAGTCCTGCACATTTAACTGACTAAGTTTCATGAAACTAAGGCTGCTGCTATAACTGTACCCTGCTTCAACACTATTACATAACAATACCAGATACTCAGATTGCAGCCCACTGCCAAAGCTTTTTTCCCTCCACATTTAACAAAGCTTGCTGGTTAGTGTAGGGTATTTTGGTGAGATTGCCAGTCTTATTATGCCTACTTTGTACGAGCCTACTTTCACATTGCTATGCTGAAGTGGCGCAAATCAGATTTTTTGCAGCTATCGAGTCAGAACAATCAGGTCTGAGCATGAAATCAGAGCAATGAGCCTTGCAATGTGAACGTAGCCTTAAATGCACAGGAATGTTAGCTTGCATGTAGCATGATGGCTTTATGACCTCATATTTCCAATGATATACAGTCATATGCAAAGGTTTGTGTGCAAAATGCATGTTTTCTTGATTTTTTATGTGAAAATAAGTTAATATTTCCTCCACACACTTATGCACATTTTAATGCACAATTACTGTTTATTTGCCAAATTAAACACATTGGGTGCACATATGGCACATTTCATATATTATGTTTTATTTTTTCTAGTATGTTAAACTCAGCAAATAAATAAAAATTGCAAACTAAGGCTTGCAGAAGATGTTATATTGAGGCTTGTTAACTGTAGAGGATGTGTTAACTTATTTTCACTTACAAAATCAACAAAACATGTTTACAGTTTTCATATGACTGTAGTAATATACAGGGAAAAAATGTATATTGGACAAAATGTGTAAACTTTGGACCATTTCTGTTCAACTCAGAGCACAGTAGGAAAACACCAATTGTTTTATCCTTATTAAACTGGACTCACGGCTCATCTGGATGCTGATAGCAAACTATAAAATGTCGACACGTCCTCAGAGATCCATTATGAATCAGCAAGAATACACACTTGCACAGATGTTACATGCTGCACGAGCTAAATTCCCTTTTAAGTACACTGGTGTAGGATGTCAATTAGATCATCTCCTCAAAATGTTTCGAGTTGTTTACTCGTTTATAAGTGGTTGGTTCTTTACGTTTAATTTTGATGTTGTTTAGGTTTGATTTCACAATGTTGTTACATTGTTTTCCTCTTCCATGTAGGTGACGTCATTGTCTACATCAATGACATCTGCGTTTTGGGCACCACGCATGCGGACGTAGTCAAGCTCTTCCAGTCAGTTCCTATTGGTCAGAGTGTGACCCTAGTGCTGTGCCGAGGCTACCCGCTGCCCTACGACCCCGGAGGACCCCTCGGCCAGTTCCAGCATGGCCCCTCTGGGTCTGGTGGACCACCCGCTCCTGCTCAATGGAAGAAACACCTATGATAACTACATGGAGTACATGTCTTTGACTGGCCGGTTGGTGCCTGAGCATGGCGAAGGTCTGCCTCAGGCGTCCCATCCTGGAGACACCCATCTGGACGGCTCACAGCCGCCCTCCCTCACCACGCCTGGAGCCCCGCCTGACGACAGTGTCTCCATGGCATCGTCGTCAGGGGCAACAGCGGGGGCCCAGGCAGCTCCGGAGCTTCTGAGCCTCACCATGACCAAAGGATCAGAGGGCTTTGGCTTCACCATAGCAGACAGTCCTACAGGCCAGCGAGTGAAACAGGTGCTTATTCACACTTTTACATTTTTATAAGAGTCAGTATCAGAGCAGAGCAAGGTATATTGGATGGTTCCGGCTATGTTGAGCCCAATTCAGTTCCATTCCTTTCTTAAGGCTGTTTTACCCCATTGTACTCTGTTTATGCCGTGATCATAGAGGTAATATAAACAGACATTCTCCACAACTTGGAGCAGTGAAGCATATTTTCTGACATTAACATGCAATTTAAATGACTGAGGATTGTAGCTATTTTGAAGTAGAAAATGAAAGCATTCCAACAGCCATGTGTATTATCTGCATTGCCAGTGTTTCAACTGCAGTAAAGCTAGCAGCCTTTCACCAAGACATGTTAAAGTAGCCACTAAAATCTGGCATATATGCTGCATGTACGTGTTGTTGTTGAAAGACTGTTGTTCCACACCTCCTAGCTCAGGGGTCGGCAATCTAAATGTCAAGAAGAGCCATTTTGTCCTTACAACAAAAATCAAACCACATTTGGAGTCACAACATTTTATGTCCGTTTTGCCATCTTGGCTGTAAATATATCTCAATATGCGCTGATGTACTAGTACAGGCTAAAAATATAATATAAACGAAAATGCCGACTTGCTGAGCTTTTTCACGTATCTCCAGTAGGAAACTTTTCCTGAAAAGTAAAACAGGTTCTTGTAAGTCTATTAGTCTCTAAATTATCGATATTCATCTTAAATCTTTCTCCAGAGCCGCATGTTGCCGACCACTGTCCTAGCCGAATTGGCGACAGCACATGGCCAGCGGTGGTATGCAGCAGTGTAAACATTGCCATGGTAATAGTGGTGTTTCTGCTCGTGTGTGGGACGATAGTGTTAGTCACTATTACACTATACTAAAGCTATGAAAAGCGAGTACATTGTGACTGCTAGTTAAACTTGAAATACCAAAGTAGCACATTTAAGACACCATGAAATGATTGTTTCAAAAAGAGCAGTTCAGAGTACAGACTGACTAGAATGTCAGTCAACTCATAATATCTGCTGATATTAATAACCTGCGGTTTTATCAGGATCGGCAAATATATTGCAGATAATGTGCCAGTGATAAGTGACTTAGCGACTTGTGATATCCCTATGGCCCTGTTCACACTTGGCATTGTCATGCATCCTGGGTGACGTGATCAAAAGTGGACAGCACTAAGTACAGGTATGAACAGGGTGCTGTGCATTTTGGAGAAACACTGTGATCTGATCTGAGATGAACCAGCTGAGATGAAAGCAGCTGTGTAGCTTCATTTTTTGCCTACCATTCATTTACCAGTTGCGTTAGCGGTGCATGTGGTCTAATTGTTTGTAACAGCCCTTTCATTTACACAAACAAAGACTCGCAGTATATTTTTGTCAGAGAGAGACTCGGTCATGATAAATGTGGGTGGTACCTTTTCTTCCGTCAAGAAATCCAATCACTGGCGTATAATAATTTTGGCGTTGGTGACACATGGAAATGCCAAGTGTGAACAGCGGCATGTCTCACTGTCCTTTTGATCAGATCACTCGAGACGGATGTTAATACTAAGTGTGAACAGGGCCTGTGATTGGGTCAAACTTTAGTTGTACAGGCTGAACTGGTGATTCCGCCATCATAGTTAACTCGTTAAGCGGTCAGGGTCCACCGGCAGGCCCAAAGTTTTATCACACACTTTGATAACCTAAGAATAGCTCAGCCAGTTTTCACTGAAGTCCCTGTTGCTACTGATTAATATGCCTTAGTATGTAATAAGCCTGGGATTTTAAGGTGTTAAAATGATACAGACATGGTAAACCTTTATCATAGGAGTAACATGTTATAACACAAAAAATACTGAAAATGAATAATAATAATAATTTTATTTATATAGCTATATATACTTTTAATGCCGGTGGCAGCTCAAAGGGCTTCACAGACAGATGATAAAACTTAACAGTGATACAAGAAAAAAAGTATTAATTTAGAATCATGTAAGAAAATGACACAGATGAAATTAAAAGATAAACACCATGAGAAATAGAGTTTTAATTAAATGCTAAGTTAAAGAGATACGGTTTTAGATACTTCTTAAAAGTGAGCACTGAGCTTGACTGTCTAATAAAAGGTGGAATTGAGTTCCACAGTTCAGAAGCAGAATAACTGAAAGAGTCCATGTTTTCTGTATTTCTGTGTTTGCAGATAGTCAGTATCTGCAGATCTAAGATCACATGTTCAAATATAAACAGATTGACGCTCTGTGATGTAAGCGGTGCTTTATAGTCATTTAGAGCCTTAAAAACTAGTAGCAGAACTTTAAAATCAGATTGCCAGTGCAATTCTTCTGTTCTTCAAATTCTTTTGAAGTGCTGTTATTACAGAAATGTAAAGTCATTTTCGGTAAATGTTTTTACCAAATTCAGTGTGCTTGAAATGTGCTTTATGCAGATGCATTATCTACAAAAATACAAACATCGTATTGAACTGAGTGTTCAGTACAGATACTGAGTATTAAAGAATTTGTATCAGGATTCTCAAAAAAAAATTCAGATTTTTTTTTACATGCTGTACAAGTTTTCCCACATAGTGTAACTGCTTCATTGTGTTTCACATATTATCACATAGTACTCAGAGAACATTGTGATGTTTATGAAGCAGCGAGTGCGTATTGATTGCGTCCCTGATGAGATAATGGTTCTGTAGGTGTTGGAGCCGCAGGGGTGTCCAGGGCTGTGTGAGGGAGATCTGATAGTGGAGATTAACCAGCAGGGGCTGCAGGGACTCAACCACTCACAGGTGGTCCAGATCCTGAAGGACTGTGCGGTGGGCACAGACGCCACCCTCGTCGTCCACAGAGGTGCAGGAACAGGTATGAGTTTCTTCATTTCTTTTCTTAAGGGTGTCGTTAAATTCTTGAAGTTTGTTGTATCTGCTGTCTTCGTTTTTCTGTCCTTGAGGTGAATCTCAGACGTTTTGACGTTTAATTTAAAAAGAGCTTTATCTGCATTAAACCTCCAAACACACAAAAAGTGTTGCTTATTTTGTTTTTATCTCACTTGCAGGTGAAAACATTTCCAAATTGTTATGTTCAGTTGGGGACATTTTCTTTAAACAACAACATTTTTATCATTCTCTTATCTTCTTCATTCAGGGACTTTTTAAAACGACTGTTCTGTTTTCTGTTTCCTGCACGTACTCACATTGTGTCGTGCTGGTCAGCTTCATGTCCAGCCCGAGGATTATCTGGGTTTCAGCCGAGCCTATTGTAAACATTCTTTGGCATGTGATGCTCTTTTGAAGTGAGGAAGTTGCCTGAGGATAGAGTATGCAACACCACTCGCTGAACTCAGGCTGCACTGCCCATCTGAACACGAACTGACCGAACAGGTCCAGGTTACACGTGTCTGTGAGTGTGTGCGTAAAATTTCATGGCATTATTTCAGAATTGTTTGGCTGAGTTAAGGATTTTTTTAAGCTAATCCTGTTGAGAGACTGCAGAGCATCTTGGCAGATGTTAGTGATTATTCTCAGTGTATTCTGATCCAAGCCAAAATAATCTCTTAATTTGAGCTGACTGATTTGAATGCCCTGCTTCGCTTTATTGAAATATCCATATAGTATTGCTGCACATATTTATGATTTTGTTCTTGGAACAAACTCCTCGTTATTAACACATATTTCACTTTTGCTGCAAAGGCATATTCATCAAGTTTGTGTTTTATCAGAAATAGAGTTGGCACAAAGCCACTTTTCTTTTATGATACTGATACCAACACTGCAATTGAAACTTTCACTATAGGCTGAAACTGATCTAATATTTTTTTTCCTTAAAACTATTAAACTGTAAATTGAGCTATTTTTACTTAAAGCAGTTCAACCCTTTAATCAGTCAAAAAGCATCTGTTTGTGCATTTTGATCTGCTTTTCTCTGTTAATAACATGACTTGTCAGTGCCATTGTTGTATTTACTTAGACTTGTAAAGTAGAATGTGAAAGTCAAATGTTTGTGTGTGTGTGTATATATATATATATATATGTATATATATATATATATATATATATATATATATATGTATATATATATATATATATATATATATATATATATATATATATATTGGTGCTTGAAAGTTAGTGAACCTTTCAGAATTTTCGCTTACAATGTAAATGCTCATATTTCCACGCAGTTGACCTAATTGTAGGTCCAACACGTGCTTTGATGAATAGATAGCTACTTAGTTACAGCCTTTTTAATTTTTTTTGTATAATTTAATCATTGAAACGTCAACAAAGTCACTAGAGGTGGTTTGATTTCTTTACAGTGATGGTGGTGGAAACCAGGGGTTGCAATGTCTACAGCACAGAAATAAACTTTTTCTTTACTATTCAAAATGACTAGTGAACCTACACGTGTTTTCTGAGTTTTTATTTGTAATGTTCATAACGGTAAACAAGTGGTAAAGCTGAAAAAAAAGTTTTGTAGTAGTTTTCTGTGAGGGAGCTTTTAGAGGCAGTAAACTCCTTGGATGTCTGGTGCCTTTCACCACCACTGTGAGTAATTTTGAATCAGTATGTTTTCCTAGAAAGGGCTTTTCATGTTAAGAAACTCTGAATGACTTTCTTTATCTCTTAACCCTTGTGTGGTGTTGGTGTTTTTGTTACTCAGTGGTCTGGTGGACCCCCCGCAATATTGTTTTTTTAAAACAACAGTCATAACAATTTATGTAAAAATACCAGATGTTTAAAATATCACAAGTGGTCAGCGTAGGGCTTTCCTTTTGCAGCTGTAGCCAGTCGGCAGCCTGTCCATGTTGTCCACCGTCACACACACACACACACACACACACACATATACAAATACATACACACACAGACACACACACACTAACAGCAGGCCATGTAGGTGGAGAACAGAGTGAAGGACACAGCACCTCCACACTTTTATTCCCTGCGGGTTCACCTCAACACCACGTGTGTAATATAAATGTGTGGGGGGTGAACAGTGTGAAGTCATTGAAAATGTGTTGTTTTATATGTTCTTTGCAGAAAATGAGCAAAAAAAGGAATCTGAGGTTGAAATAATAATAAATCACATCAATTTTTCTTTTGGTAAACATTGTAAATGGGTCCCACAGACTGAACACCACACAAGGGTTAATGATTTATTTGTGTTTCAAGCAATTTAGCGATACAGAATCAGATCAGAATCAGATTGTTTTGATACAGAATCAGATCAGACTTGTCCAGCTTTTTCTGCTGGTATCGCCCTGATACTGAAACTGGGAACCAGACCGGTGGCGTCTCTACAGGGAATGCTCGGATATGCATGGTGTTCAGACCGGGGATCAAGTTCCTCTAAGCGATACATGTCTGACCTTTTCCTTGAAGTCAGAACAAACAATCACGCTGGACCAGATCGAAGGCAAGGCGAGTGTGTGAGGCTCTGTTTCCTATTCGCACTCCAGCCCGCACTGATGTACCAACACAGCCCTTACACATGCTTCAGCTATTGCAGTCTGCTGTCAGAACAAAGCCGCATTCAGAGCCGTGTTCCAATCTGTATTCTGCTTTTTCCTCTCCGTCCCCTCCCTCTCGGTCTCTTTTTCTCTCCTCTTGTCTTGCTCTGTCCACTTTACTGAAGGCTGTGGCCCTGGAAGACCTCTCTAACACACACACACACAGCGAGGTTTGAAGTAAGCAAGCGAGAGACAGTCGAGTGACTCACAGGCTGAGTGAGAGACTATTCAATTCCAGAGCTGGCACTCTGCCAAGGTCCCAGCCAGCACCGGCCATGTTCACAGCTCTCTCTCCTCAGCGCTGCGATTAGCGCACAGCTCTCACACTGAGCCGCACACCGCAGACCGACAGCACTCTGCACCAGTTAGGATGCAGGCGTTTATTAGAAAGGTGGGACGGTCACGGAGCGGACCAATCGAGGGCCGACACATCACAGCAGGCCAGTTTTTGTAAGAGAGGCTTGTCAGTAATTCAGAAATGCTTGTAGGGGTTTGATGTGATTATTGCTGCAGTTAATCTTAATTAACATGGTTATTTTCAGGAAATGTCCATGTTTGATAACCTTCTGTGAAGCAGCAGCAGATGCTAACTCCATCAGCTCTAGGCTTATTACGCAACTACTCATTTTAAGACTTAGGATGATTATTTTGACAATAAATCAAAGAATCGCATTTAAAATAAATGGACAAACTGGACTTAAAATGGACTCTCAGCAACAACAATAGTATCAATGCAATGCCAAAAACAGTACATGCATAACCAAAGGTTACACAATACCTGATTGGTAATAGTGTTTAGAAGGCTTCATTAAAAATGCCGCTGCTGTCGAAACGACACATCGTATCTCCAAAATGATAACTTTACAGGAGAAGAAAAAAAACATACTTTAGGTTCAGTGTAAGTCAGTGGAACCAGACTTTTTTCCAAGTAATTTTGGGCTTTTTTTTCGGTCCATTCGTCATGAAATTTACACACAATGTAAAGGGCAACAGATATTTTCAATTAATGTCAAAAACTGAAAAAAAACAAAAATGGCAATACAAGGTTTTACTTTGAAAGCAGCAATGTATAAAACTAGTGGGTCAAAGTTAGAAATGTAAACAGTTGTACGCTTTCAAAATTTGCTTCCACCTTCAAGATACATCATCAGAAGAGGGTATTTCCTAGTCTTTAAACCAGGAAATCTCACTAGAGACTGCTGAGGAACAGCTGGAAGAGGCGAGTAGGCATGCTTACAACAGATGTAGTGATTTTTCATTTTTTTATTTTGGCCACAGTGTCCTTTTAACAATGCGCTGACATTAATGTACTTCATGGTAGCAAAGTGTGTGTGTGTGTGTGTGTGTGTGTGCGTATATATATATTAGGGCTGCAACAAACGACTGATTTCATAGTTGAATAATCTATTGATTACTGAAACGAATAATCGGTTATTCTGATTAAGAATCACTACATTACGAAACAACTTTTATGTAGCTATAAATTTTTAATTTAGCTGGAGGTTGTTTTGGGCGGCACGGTGGCGCAGTGGGTAGCGCTGTCGCCTCACAGCAAGAATGGCCTGGGTTCGATTCCCGGCCGGGCGACCAGGGTCATTTCTGTGTGGAGTTTGCCTGTTCTCCCCGTGTCTGCATGGGTTTCCTCCAGGTACTCCGGTTTCCTCCCACAGTCCAAAAACATGCAGTCAGGCCGATTGGACGTGCTAAATTGCCCTTAGGTGTGAGTGTGTGTGTGACTGTGTATGTCTGTCTGTCTGCCCTGCGATGGACTGGCGACCTCTCCAGGGTGTATCCTGCCTTCCACCCAATGACAGCTGGGATAGGTTCCAGCACCCCACCGCGACCCAGAAGGATAAGCGGTTTAGATGATGTATGTATGTATGGAGGTTGTTTTATTCATTTGCTAACTAACAATGAAGACAATAAACATGAATAACATTCAAAAATTCACTGTTTTAATGAAGTTTCCTGCTAATACAAATGATAAAAAATAAATCTCCAATATATTTTTCCTGTCAAAATGTTTAACCAAAGATGTTCAAAGTAGCAGCAACAAAATATAACAAAACTAAATCAGTTTTCCTTTAATCAAGTAAACAAAAAAACTAAATTTAAATGTTAAATATAAACAGTGCAGTCTGTGCTCTGTGCTCTGCTGTCTGTCTACACTTTACTGCAACTAAATTCTACAGTCACAGGTCTTTATTGATACGGAGGAAAGTCAGTGTCTCTCTGTGCTCCTGTAGGAGTCTCGCCCTCCTCTGAGAGCGGATACTCCCCGCTGCAGGGAAGATGCGCTGTGATGGAGCGGATGGGAAAGTGGCGGATGTTTGTGGCGAACTTGTCTGTGAAC